TAAGAAAAGTTTAGCCGGAGAGAGAGAGAGAGAGAGAGAGAGAGAGAGAGAGAGAGAGAGAGAGAGAGAGAGATACGAAACTAATGCAATCACAAAATATTTTTATCCTCCTCTCGTTGACTAATATGAACGACTAAGTGTTCTTTATAATCCTTAAAAACATTTGCGCTTTCCTTTTGTATCTTTGCTGCAAGATTCATTTTGCATTTCATCCTTGGTGTGTACAGGCATGTTTGAAACCATGGAAATAATCTTTGTAGCGGTACAGAGTCGAGGGTGAACATTATAGCCTTGAGCTCATGCTATCGCTCCTTGTATCAGACACCCTAGATCGTTGCCCCAACCTGAAAATGTGCACACGACAGCCTCTCTATTTAATAATACAAACCAAGACTTCCCGGTATTATGAAAGGCCTTCCGCGTTTCACACGTCCTCATGAGTGATGAGATTGTCATAGATAACGTTTTCCCATCAGGAGATGCGTCATTGTGGGCCACGCGAATCATAATATGGGGCTCCCTGAATCGGTTCACCAACTTCAACAGTGCATGACACCAACCGCAGTCTATGTCTGTTGAATCTCGCTCAAGGAAGTCTATGTCTGTGGAATCTCGCTCAAGGAGGTAATAATCATCAACACACTTTTCTTCGTCATCATTCTCTTTACTATTACAACTGCTTTGTGGTGGTTCATCGTTGAACGGGATTTCTTGCGTGCTTTTCATTTGGTCATCATCATCAATGTCGCTTTCTTCTAGTATGGACAGACTTGCGACACTTTGTGCTTCCTCAACAACACATGATTGATGAGGACTGAAGAAAGAACATTCTGAAAGCGTCCACTGAGTTATAATATCTTCAACTTTCAAATCTTCTTCTGACATCTTCATCCAATGTGGCTCCAAAATTGTTGCGGGCAAAACAATTTTGTTGTCATTGAAGTGGATATCAAGACTCTCATTCACATCCTCCTCTGCAATCTTCATGCATTCATCAACAACAATATCCCATCCTTGTTCCCTCGTTCGTTGTTTGTCCACCTCGGTTGTTGCGGCACAAATTGCTCGTAATGCATAATCAAATTCAGCACCTTCAATCATATTCATGGAAGACGGGAATAAGGATGGCCCCGACGAGTACAACACGGTGTCACCTCCAACAAGCACATCTTCAATCATAGAAGAAAGTACTTTATGTACCATATTCTATTCCCCATCATATGATCTCAACAAGTCCATCATCTGATCTAAAAAAACATGTTCGACCCCATCTACCACTAACACTGGTAAGTTTGCAACAGATGTTGGTGAAATATAATCTCCCATCTCCAGTTGTGACAAACATAACACTTCAGCCATGCCTGGTTTCAACATGTTATGATCAGACGGATCTCGCATAGCACCGTCGCCTACCTTCAAATATAACTTCTTTCTGTACGCGAAAGTTGTGTATTCACCGATGCTTTTCTTTTTTGATTTGTCCACGTTTTCCTGAATGCAAAGCCAATTAAGAACTGAATTCTTAGTGTATGATCTCATACCAACAGATGTATTCGTGTGCGAAACACACACAACTTCCACATCAAGGGACGAGTGAAAGCTGTCCAAAAATTCACTTGCATCCAACTTTTTTTCAATGTTACTGGCAATAGTTGCTTCTACATCGATGTGCAGAGAAAAATATTCAGGAACCATTTTCCGATTTCGTTCAGTTCGCTGTCCGTGTTGTGGTGTACATTTCGCATTGCATACTTCAAAACCTTATTCCGTGCTATCTCTTCAAACGATGTCGACATGTCTTCGAACAAGTATGACCTTTGAGTCAACACCAGATACCGTTATATTACCACATACCCTACACAAAAGGACACATTGAACAATCGAAATGAACAACCGATAAGTCTGAAAATAAAAATGAAGAAGTCAGGTATTGAAAACATGAACATGTTTCCTTTCAATATGATTTCGTGTATGTGTCTGTATGAGTGCAATGTATGCTAGTTTGAGAAAGCAAAAGAGAGTACAGGGGTCACTGGTGTTCAGTGATAATTGTCATACCTTTAAGGATAACACCGAAACTGTGGTCGGTAGCTGCTTATGAGTTGAAGGTAGAACACATTCAGGGTCCTCAAATGAATATGCCCCACCTTTGCATTGATGTGGTCAAAATTAAAATGAGTTCGGTAGCTGCCTATTGTTTTGAGGTGAGCACGTTCAATGCGCATAATTTATAAGCACCAACTCACCCTCTCCAACCCATAAGTTTTATGAGCAAAGTATAACCGCGGTCATAAGGCGCCAAACCCAGTTTCACAATAAACAAAATGCATACGCAAAAATTTATGGGTTTCTATTCACCACGTCTAGAAGGCCGCATTTACAATGCTTGTAGTATTGCTGTATTTTATTTTTTGCATACAATTTGAAAAAAAACAGTACATGAACGCGCGCGCGTGAGAGAGAGAGAGAGAGAGAGAGAGAGAGAGAGAGAGAGAGAGAGAGAGAGAGAGAGAGAGAGAGAGAGAGAGAGAGAGAGA